AAGTAAATAAAATTATAAATTAACAATAAAATTTCTCAAAAATTAAAGATTTTCAACCTCTTAGAAAATTTTGTTATAATTTAAAAAAATGCTAGAAAAAGAACATTAAGGAAATAATTCGCTTTTTGTAATGGATATGTATGCATAAATTTATTTATTTATTTATATCAAATGGCAGGTGCCTTGATGGTTATCATTAGCCCTTTAGTTGACTTCAAGCTCCACAGAGAGGAAGGTACATCAAATTGAAAAAAGTTCGAGAGGGGGGGGGGGAAGGGGACAGAAGAGTGATTCACAGATGTAAAAGAGGCAGACAGACACAAAGGTAGAGAAAAAGGTAAGGTGAGTACTTTGGAAGAGGTCGAATATGACAACCAGGGGGTTGTGGTAGTTTGAAGTCAGAAGTCAATTGCCGGTTAATAGATTTTTTGCCGTATGAGTATACGTTGCCCAGGGTGCACCACGGGGAGGTAAGTCTATCACACACCCCAGTATACATATATGAATTTCCAAAAATGAAGACTTGTATAGTTCAGGCTTTAAGACCAGGTGACACAAGAATCAATAGATGCAAAAGTCTTTTTATATTTTTTATTTAACTGCATAGGCAGTGCCTCGTCTAGAAGGTGACTACTATTTTGCACAGGTTTGCTTAATAACATTTCTTGAGTAAAGCTAAAAATTTTTCAAATATGTATTATTTCAAAATATTATAAGTTAAAACAACTTATTTACAAATACAGAGGACAGTGGCACTCTCCAACTTGGCTGTTGGAAGCTGTTGCAGAGTTTAGACTACGTACCGAACACGATTTCCTGGCGAAGCACCTCCACAGAATAGGCATTTACGTCCAACCTACATGGCCCCCTAGGTGACCTACAGGAGGAAATGGATAAGACCCACCTGATTAGGTCTCCAGCCCTAAAGACAACGACAATAACCCAGAGATACTGGGAAGCCAGAAGACAGCTAATGAACTACCGTAAAATATCCTAAAGTCCATATATATGTTTCTTCCATTTGTGAAGGCCGAAATCATAAGATATCATAAAGTTTGTCATTTGAAATAATAATAATACTTGGAAAAGCGGTACAAGTTTACAATTTGACTTTTAATTTGTTTCGAAGGAAATTTGTTAAATAATAATTTGATTGCCTATCGAAATTCATTTACTTATCGTATTGCTTCATAATTTCAAGATAAAAAATATTTTCAGCAAATCCCATCTCTATATAATCTACAGACACAGGTTGCAACCTCTCCAATTAGTTAACAATAGTCACCACCTTTTATTACTGTCCGAAATATAAAAAAACAGGAAGACCACCTTGGGCTTCCGCAAGAGGCTTTTGACAATTTGTCCATCTCATTTGATTTTAACGTAACAGAACTCGATGGGGAATAGTAGCAGTTTTAACTTATAAATTCAAAGTAATGGTATCAAAATGTCAAAATGTCAAGTAGAGTTGGTTACTCACATGACAGAGTAGGTTTAGAAGACACTAATGAGACAATTACAATGCAAGTGCGTTTACACGCAGACTAGCCAATCATCTACACAAGGGTTCATATCTAAATAGCTGGTTGAAGAGAATTGTATCTCATAATATTATTTTGTGCCAACGATGCCTTGGTAAGTCGCACCTCTCAACATACCAACTTCAAGTAAAAATTAAATGGCAAACTATCAAATGAGGTTGACAGAAAACTATAGAAATTGTCAACTCTAGTTTGGTCGCCTATTTAAAAGCATTTGATATTAATTACAATGTTTACATCAAGTTTGAATAAAAGAGTTAGTCAAGGATGGATCCGGAAAAATCGATGCAGAAGAGCTTTTTGCAGCATTTAAAAATGAGGATTATGATTTGGCTCAAGTGAAGGCATTCATTCGAATAAATGACAAAAATGGTGATGGTCAGTTGGATTACAAGGAGCTCTATGATTTCTTTGAGCGCCAAGGCATGTGAATTGCTTTCAAAAACTCGATTTTTAATGCTTGTCAATTAAATTCCTTTATATTTGAATAAAATGAGTTAATCTTACATTGTTAATGCATATTACTAATTGTCGTTAACTTCCAAACACCTTCCCCTTACGAGCAATTTTGCAATGAGTTATTTCTCTATCAAATACCTCCTATATGGTGAATGCTTTAAATGAGATTTAAAATGTAAAGGCTTCTTCAACATATCGATAAAATCAGTTTTGCGTTATTTACTTACAAGATAGGACTGGTCAATATGGCATACACAATGCCTGGATTAAACGCCTTTGCAATAGGTTTTTTTCATAATTCGGCGTCGATTTGAATTTGTGCCAATTCTGTTGAAAAATTAAGAGTGCAAAATAACTTTGTCCAAATGACTCCAATGTTACGCTTTATTCTTAATTTGACCTGGGATAATTGCCACCTGCTTCGAATTTAGAAGTAATTTGAAAAAAACAATGAAGATTTATTGTCATTAGTATTAAATCTAGTGAAAGGCGGGTGTCTGGTACGGGGAACCATTTCTGAACATATTTTATTTTTTTATCTTGACTATTATTGACACCGCAAGGCGTTCGTGTTCGTGAATGAGCATAAGTATTCAATTGTAATTTAGTTGCGACAAAATTCAGTTTCAAATTTGACATAATGAGAAAAGTGCTCTCGTAGCAGGTGATAAAATTCAATCAATAGGCAGGTGGTTGAGGGGGGATNGAAGTCAGAAGTCAACTGCCGGTTAATAGACTTTTTTGCCGTATGAGTATACGTTGCCCAGGGTGCACCACGTGGAGGTAAGTCTATCGCGCACCCCCAGTTGATATAATAATTTTCAAATAATGATTATGTACATCGGATTTCTACAGAGGTAAAGTCTGCCATGTACTACTTTCTTTAAGAGGTTCCTTAAAACCAATAGGAAAATAACGAAATCTTTTGGGATATATCAGCCTATCTCTTACGATTTAACTTGAGGGTCACATAGTTCCTAAGCCACTTCATTTCTAAAATAAAATGATAAGATGTTAAATTTTATCATGCAATGACGAGATGATATGGCACACAATAAGGTGACTCAAATAATTCGCACGCTAGATGGAAGTGGTTGGAACGTAACACAAGCCCAAACTTTTGATGATTCCTTAATTGCGCCGAAAAAAGGCGTTGACTCAAACAGAATCGGTTGAATTTTGTACTAAACTCTGTCTAGGTAGTAGTAGAAACTTTACCTCTAAGACGCTTGTTACCTGTAAATTACAATGATGCATGCAACGAATCAGTTTTGGGGGCACCAAAGTAAATAATCTCGACAAACTAGATCGTTTAACTATCTATGGTTTCTCCATTGGCCAGTTTTCTAATTTAAGGTAAAGAAATAAATTTAGGCCCTAATAGGTTTTCCTCATTTGGTTAGAGCGAATGAAAAAAGAACTATTTTACTCTCATCTTACAGTCGTTATCCATTGTTTCACTACTTATATAATTTCAACTTATATATATATATATATATATATATAGGGGTGCGCGATAGACTTACCTCCTCGTGGTGCACCCTGGACAACGTATTTTCTTACGGCAAAAAAGTCTATCACTCGGCATTCGTTTTTGACTTCGATTAATTATGATTAGCTTTAAAAAAGGCTATAAGAAAAATCGCCCTCGTCAGGGCGAATTGCAATGTCTTCAGATCCTCCAGTGGAATGCTGGANTATGAGTATACGCTGCCCAGGGTGCACCACATGGAGATAAGTCTATCGTACATCCAACGGTTAGAATATTGTGTCCATATTAGAGGCTCATTAGATTTATCAAAGCACATTTAAGCGTTTATTTGCAAAATATTGGCAAATCATTGGTAAGAAGTATCAATATTTTTAATGAAAATATTGTTAGTTGAGCATTGCTTATAATTGGTTTATTCTTATGCACTTAACCAGTTAAGTTAACTTACCTCAGATAACAAGACTTTGGNGACATACAGTGGGGTGATGGTAGTTAGAAGTCAGAAGTCAACTGCCGGTTAATAGACTTTTTTGTCGTATGAGTATACGCTGCCCAGGGTGTACCACGTGGAGGTAAGTCTATCGTACACCCAACGGTTAGAATATTGTATCCATTAGAGGCTCATTAGATTTAGCAAAGCACATTTAAGCGTTTATTTGCAAAATATTGGCAAATCATTGGTAAGAAGTATTAATATTTTTAATGAAAATATTGTTAGTTGAGCAATGCCTATAACTGGTTTATTCTTATGTACTTAACCAGTTAAGTTAACTTACCTCAGATAACAAGACTTTGGCCGCGTTAAATGTTTATACCTGTGAAGGAATGGCCAAATTGCTTGAACTTAATTTTGGAAAGCATAGATAAAATATTAATCCAATGACCCCTTTTAGTGTTAATACGTCTCCTAATATGGTTAATTTTAAAATAGATTTTGAGACTTAGGTTTGAACTTTGTTTGTCTCGGCATCTTTCCAAAATCTAAATATATAAATAGATTATCAGGTGTTTATTCTTGTTTATAAACACTGAGAACAGATACACCCTCTTCCTACCCCCCTTCCCCCCCCCCCCNCCCCCCTTCCCCCCCCTCCCCCCCCACCTCCCCACCTCCCCACCCACAAACTCACTATCTGCATTCCTACTAACTACTCCAACCTCTGTGGTTAACCTCAACAACCCTTCCAAACCTTCTGGACATAAATCCGCTTGTCTTGACAGTCTCTTCAATGGAATATACCTCCATGCTTTACCCTTTAGAACAATTTCTACTTTCACACAGGTTTCCTTTAGTCAAGTGAAAATGGTGAGTAATATACTAGAAGTAGAATTAAGATAGAAAGCACATTGCAGCACGTGAGAACTTAGCCATTAAATCACACGACACCACCGCAGTTTACGTTTGCACACACAAAAACTGATTGGCCAATAATTAACGCCCAGGGAGTTTTCAGAGTAGATATAAATAGCCTGAATGGTCGGAATGATCAAATAACTCACATTTGAAAATGATCAGGTAAGTGCTCTATGGCTCCTAAATGGTAAAACATGTATTGTGTCATCTAAACGCAAGACTTCCAACTTTCTAGCATCGAAGAAATTGAAGAATTCATCAAGCGTTTGGACAAGGATGGATCTGGCACTATCGACGCTGAAGAACTCCTGCGTGGTCTTGATTGTGATGAAATTCGTATGGAACAAGTGAAGAAGTTCATTAGGTCCATCGACAGAAATGGCGATGGGAAACTTGATGTCTCTGAATTGATGGCGTTTTTCAATTCCCCGGATTTTTAATTTCTACACATCAATTTCTGTGGCTTATTTTTCAATATAAAGCATTGCTGAAATAATGGACCTTTGTTTCTATATTCCACGCAGATTAAATGTATCTATTCAGTATTGAAAAGTTTACTGTGATATGGGATAATTTAATTACAATTTAATTGCCCACTGTTAGAGAGAGAGAGAGTAGGCACAATATTATCTCATTGTTTGTCAACGTCATAAAATGGTAATCTTAATCATGAAGTATCAACTTGGCACATGAATTTTTTAAGGTATTTCAATTATGGGTGATAAATGTGATCACACTGGAGCTCAAAATGAGGTCAGAATGCTAAAAGCGGTTTAATTCTGTTAATTTTTCGCTTTCCCACTGTTAGTGATATGGCATATTTTGTTCCTAAGTTTAGTCGGTTTGAATTGCTGACGGTAATTCAAGTGGTCCCTACATGCCTTCTCACCGTTGGGAGCAAATATAAGGGAGAAAGGGAGTTGACTGGGCCTCACTAGAAATCATTCATTAATTAAACAAGTTTGGCCTTTCAATTCGAATGTTTCCAAGTGAACGAGAAAGTAGAACTAGCACGACAAAATTCACGACTTAAGCCCTAATCTCTTTCCCACTTGGGATGCGTTATAGACTTACCTCCACTTATTGCGTCCGTATCAACGCCTACTCATACAGCAAAAGTCCATAAACTGGCAGTTTACTTCAAACTACCATAACCCGAATCGATGTCATATTCCACATCTTCCACAGTGAGGTGTGCGATAGACTTACCTCCACGTGGTGCACCCTGGACAACGTATACTCATACGGCAAAAAGGTCTATTAACTGACAGTTGACTTCAGACTCCAAACTACCATCACCCCACTGTATGTCAAATTCGACTACTTCCACAGTACTCAACTCGCCTTTTTCCAACTTTGTGTCTGTCTCTTTTACATCTTTGAAACACTCTTCTGTCCCTCCCTCCCATCTCGACCTCTTTCACTTTGATGTTCCTTCCCATCTGTGAAGCCTGAAGTCAACTAAAGGGCTTATGATAACTATCAAAACGCCTGCCATTTGATATAAATAAATACAATTCAAGATAAATTGATGTTCCCTCGAAAACGGTTTCATTAACGAACGTGCTGAAATTTATTCAGGAGCCCATTTATTNGTTTAGTCGGTTTGAACTGCTGACGGTAATTCAAGTGGTCCCTACATGCCTTCTCACTGTTGGGAGCAAATATAAGGGAGAAAGGGAGTTGACTGGGCCTCACTAGAAATCATTCATTAATTAAACAAGTTTGGCCTTTCAATTCGAATGTTTCCAAGTGAACGAGAAAGTAGAACTAGCACGACAAAATTCACAACTTAAGCCCTAATCTCTTCCTCCACCTGGGATGCGTTATAGACTTACCTCCACGTAGTGCCTCCGTATCAACGCCTACTCATACAGCAAAATTCCATAAACTGGCAGTTTACTTCAAACTACCATAACCCGAATCGATGTCATATTCCACATCTTCCACAGTGGGGTTTGAGATAGACTTACCTCCACGTGGTGCACCCTAGGCAATGCATACTCATACGACAAAAAATTCTATTAATCGGCAATTGACTTTCTTTCACTTTGATGTTCCTTCCCCTCTGTGAAGCCTGAAGTCAACTAAAGGGCTAATGAAAACCATCAAAACGCCTGCCATTTGATATAAATAAATAAATACATCTTCCACAGTATTCACCCCACCTTTTTCACCACCTTCGTGTCTGTCTCTTTTAAATCCTTGAACCACTCTTCTGTGATGTCCCCCCCCCCCACCCCTCTGTGAAGCCCGAAAACAACTAAAGCCTGCCATTTGATATAAGTGAATTTCTCCAACCACTAAGAAGACAAGCTTACATTAAGGAATAAAAATTGAAATCAATTTCAAACCCAACTCCTGAACTCTACCAGCATATGTTTTCGTCACTCAAATAGCATCCACAGTTCATTGAAAAAGTGTCATTTTCAAGGTTGTGGTAATATACCAATGGCCTTTTCATTCAAACACCCACGGACCGTATTCCACTCGAAGAGTGAAAATACTTATTCATTCCTATGGGATATGATTAATGAAAGTGGTTTTTAATAAGTCCAATTCATGCTTTGACTTCTAGGAAGCAATTTATCTGCTCTACGTGTGGGGAAAATATAGTTCAATTCACTTAGGTCTATAGAAAATTCATAAATCCAACTATATATTGACGATTTGGGGTGTGGGATAGAATTATATCCCCGTGGTGCACCCTGAGCAACGTATACTCATACGGCAAAAATGTCTATTAACTGGCAGTTGATTTCTCACTTCAAACTACCAGAACTTAACTGGCAGTTGATCTAACCCTAACACGGCAAAAAGTCTATAAACCGGCAGTTGACCTCTGACTTCAAACTACCATGACCCCACTGTATGTCATATTTCTCACTTCAAACTACCATCACCCCACTCTATGTCATATTCCACTACTTCCACAGTTATCACATCACCGGTTTTCTACCTTTTTGTCTGTTTCTTTTGCATCTTTGAAACACTCTTCTATCCCCCCCCCCTCTATCTCGACTTTTTCACTTGGATTTTCCTTCCCCTCTGTGAAGATTGAATTCAACTAAAGGGCTAATGATAACTATCATAACGCATGCCATTTGATAAAAATAAATTTTATCTAAGATATACAAATCGGACAATTCTTTTCTACTAGATCGATGAAAACTTATGGCCTTTAAATCGCTTAAGTTCTAAGAATGAAGACGTTCATACTCAGGAATTAAATGTGATAAATATTTATTTATTTCAAATGACAGGCGTTTCGTAAACAAAATTTATTTATTTATTTCAAATGGCAGGCGTTTTGAAAGTTATCATTAGCCCTTTAGTTGACTTCGGCTTCAACAGAAGGGAGGAGCATTAAGAATCTATTTATTTATTTCAAATGGCAGGCGTTTTGATACTTATCATTAGCCCAGGCTTCACAGAGGAGGAGGGGGAACATCAAAGTGACAAGAAGTCGAGAGGGGGGACAGAATAATGATTCGAAAATGTAAAAGAGACAGACAAACACAAATGTTGAGTAAAAGGTAAGGCGAGATCTGCTGAAATGGGGAATATGACATACAGTGGGGTGATGATAGTTAGAAGTCAGAAGTCAACTGCCAGTTAATAGACTTTTTTGCCGTATGAGTATACGTTGCCCAGGATGCATCACGTGAAGGTAAGTCTATCACACACCCTATGTGGTAAATATAAATTTTGCCGAAATATAAAGCGCTAATCCAGTAAATGTAACTCATATAATCCACAGCAGACATCTNTACTCATACAGCAAAAGTCCATAAACTGGCAGTTTACTTCAAACTACCATAACCCGAATCGATGTCATATTCCACATCTTCCACAGTGAGGTGTGCGATAGACTTACCTCCACGTGGTGCACCCTGGACAACGTATACTCATACGGCAAAAAGGTCTATTAACTGACAGTTGACTTCAGACTCCAAACTACCATCACCCCACTGTATGTCAAATTCGACTACTTCCACAGTACTCAACTCGCCTTTTTCCAACTTTGTGTCTGTCTCTTTTACATCTTTGAAACACTCTTCTGTCCCTCCCTCCCATCTCGACCTCTTTCACTTTGATGTTCCTTCCCATCTGTGAAGCCTGAAGTCAACTAAAGGGCTTATGATAACTATCAAAACGCCTGCCATTTGATATAAATAAATACAATTCAAGATAAATTGATGTTCCCTCGAAAACGGTTTCATTAACGAACGTGCTGAAATTTATTCAGGAGCCCATTTATTTGTAGTCAATACAAGTTAATTAGATTTCTAAATATTTGGAAAAGCTGACTGGCCAAAAATCGAAGCCGTTGGTGAGTCTAGACTACGTGCCAGACACAATTGCCTGGCGACCCCTTGTCCCTTATGAGACCTACAGGAGGAAATGGAGAAGACCCATGTGATTCGGTCTGCGGCCGTAATAAAACGGCAAAAACCCAGAATCATAAAATATCATAAAACCTGTCATTTTTAATAATAATAATACTTGGAAATGCATTGCAAGTTTACAATTTGACTTATAATTAGTTTTGAATCTAACTTGTCAAACAATTTGATAACCTATCAACTAGCCATTTCATAATCGTATTACTTCTTAATTTGAAGATAAGTAAATGTCTCTAACTTCTTAGTCAGGAAAACTCAGCTATCAACCTATTGATATAAAAATATACTCCACACTTTCAGCCATTTTCTTCAATTGGTGAGAATGGAAGGATATTCAGGAGATTTATCGCAATACAGAACCTCGAAGTGACGGAATTGCAGCACCTTCAAGTCTTCATTAAGCGAATTTATGGACGTACCGACCAGCAATTTATTTCGATAGCGAATACAAGAGGTCAAATGTCAGGTATTTTCATCCAGTGGGCGTTTTAATTACTTTTCTTGCCTTTTGGTTAATTGTTATTAAAGTTCTCGTTGTTTATGCACCTCTAATGAGTAATCAGAAATGAGCATTAAAGCAAACTTTAGAAAACCCGACTTTGATATTTACCTGGTACGAAATGAGTAGTATAAAGAAGATTATCGGGGTAAAGCATATTTTTCAAAAGTCACATAAGGGGTTTTCGAGGTAATTGCAGACAATAAAATTGAAGATTCAGCAAATTCTTTCTCCATATAATCTACAGACGCTGGTTTCAACCTTTAAAATTAGCTAACAATAGTCACCACCTTTTATTACTGTCCGAAATATAAAAAAACAGGAAGACCACTTTGGGCCTCCACAAGAACTCCACTCCACCATCTTACTGGTCTATAGAGGCTTTTGACAATTTGTCCATCTCATTTGATTTTAACGTAACAGAACTCTCTTGAGTTAAATCGATATGAAATAGTAGCAGCTTTAAATTATAAATTCAAAGTAATGGTATCAGTTCTTCAAATGTCAAAATGTCAAGTAGAGTTGGTTACTCACG